CCAAATTTGGCTTTTATTTCAGTTTTGTTACCAATTACCTTCGGAGAGATGTGGACAGTGGATGTGAATAGACAAAGAAAGATACTGAGCACAGTCCACCACCATTGCTCTTAGTAAGAGTCTTGTCCACAGTCTAGCCTAGTCAGCTGGGTAGAAAGTTCTCATTTTTACCAAAGTGGAGCCCTAATCCTATCATCTTGATGGATAATTGTAATTTGGCCATATTTCCTGCCTATAACCTAGACCATCACCACCAGTGGTATTCATGTAAAGTAGCTGCAGCAAAATGAGCAAGAAGTCAGAATTAATAAACATAAAACATAGCTGTTATAGATCCAGCTGGTCACAAAAATCTAAACAGAGTAATTGTAACTGCTTTCTTCTACTGCTCATTCTATGTACTCCATGCCTGCAGTCAGCAACTCAGCAAAATGAGGTTCATAACCCGCTGGGTTATTTCTTTGGATCTCAGCCATTGCTTATCCTTCCCTTATCAGGCTGCCTCAGTTTTCTACTGACCAGGACTACTGGTCAAGGCACATCTCTGGCCCGTGGTTCAGACTCTCCAGCCTTCCAGTGATGCAATTTTCTGACTCTTGTTTCAGTGGAGCGAGAAGCCCAAAGTGAGTAGGGCAGTCTCAGCTTCCAATTCATCAAATTCATAACTGTGTCCTATGGTGGAAACATTTCCCCATGAGGTCCTCCACCTCCAAGTGCACTGATGTGAATATTATAAGATGGGAAGCAAAATCTTTCAAGTAAACTACAAAGCCACTTAGTGAGATGATCGCTCCCATATCTATGCCTATTTCCTAGGCCTGTGTGTTGTGTCACTGGAGAGAAGGCACAGTTAACCACTCATTTAAGCCTAGTGTCCTATCTTAACCCAACTCAGGTTCTATCAAGTCAGCTATAACTGGGTCAGAGGTATGTGGTAAGACTAGGGAATGTCATGGTATTGAGCCCACTGGTAGACTTCCTTTGCTGTAAATTGTATCTGCTGGTCAGTGACAATGTTGCATGCAATACCATGGGGATGAAAAAGCCACTTCATATGTGTATGAATGAGATTGTGCATGAAGAAGTCCTACTGGCAGGGAAGCCAGATCCAATGATAGAGTAAGTATCTATCAATTGAGGACAAATTAATGTCCCATCCATGATGGTTGCAGCTAGCTAACCTGCCAGTCTCCTGGAAATGAAAAGGAGAATGATCAGCAAAGGCAAAAGCCAATTCATTCAGACTGAGGAAATCCATGTTGTGGATCCCATGTGTGGCCTTGTCCACATGTGCCTTCTCCATGTGGGCCAAATGTCCTTGCCCTGTGTCTTGGGGTTCCAGGCTGCCCTCCAGTCCCCTTAACTCAGTAAGAGACTTTGTGAGGTGGAACATAGACCCTGAACTCAGTCCTTGTCCACATCTCTTATGACGAGGAAGTAGATGAGGGACTCCTTTGGAGCAGCAGTGGAGACCTCCTAATTCTCCAAACATATTCTCAATTTGTATATTTATGGCTTTTCATTTCCCCCTTTCCTTATGTCCATCTTCTAGTGCAGTCAGAAGAATGACTATTTTTGCCATAGCTATCAAGCCATTTTCTTTCCTTCCCTCCGCCTTGCTCTCCACCTGCACTTAATCCTGTACCATCAATATCAGCACCTTCGGTGAGCCTGGTGCCATGGCATGCTACACATTGCCCCTGCCCATTTCCCTCCAGCAAGGAGGTTAGCCGTGCCCTCTTCAAATACGTAAGCAACTTGATTTCAGAAGCACAGTTTGAAGATCTCTTCCTGGGAGCCACTTTCAGTACCAATTCCTGTATCTGTCAGGGTTCTAATAAGAAACAGATGGCATGCTCAGATTTGGGAAACATTAAGCAAAGAGATTACTTACAAATATGTGAGAAAGATGAAGGAAAATCCTGAGGACCAGTGCAGTACTGTGGAGCTAAAATAAAGGGGTTGTGAGGATCCCTAGGCCTGAAGGAGCAGGGGCAGAAAACAGTAACTCAAACTTGAGGACAGAGAGGGCTACACTGTGTGGCTTTTTTTTTTAATGGACATGATGACTTGATTGAGCATACAGCTCACCACAGCAATCCAGTAAGAAGCGAACTGAGAGAACAAATACTCCAACTTCACCCTCTTTTATTCCTGCAACCTCGCACTTATTATTCATGCTTGCTAAACCTGACCAGAAATCAGAATGAAAGGAGATGATTTCTGTACTCCTTACATTTCAGCTTTCTGGGAAACAGAGCAAAGAAGAGAATGGAGATTGGATCTGGAAGAGCATACAGGAGATATCAGCACATCTAACATGTGCTAGACACATTGCAGGATTCCATAAAATATTTTGGGATGAGAAGATGTAATTCCTGTACTTAAAGACATAAAAATTTAATAGCGAAGCCATGTGCCTTAACAATTGTAACTGGTGTGATGTGTGTGCAAAATTCAATAGGATAAATAAGATCAATCACATAGAGACCTAAAATTTGACCTATTCAAAGCTCCATTGCTTTCTTCCCAAGTTTCTTGCCATGACTAATGACACAATTTATCCACCTACTTACACATCTCAGAAAACCAGGAGTTGTGAAAATACATTTCTACCACTCTCTATATTCAGAGACTGATTGTGTCCTAGCAGTTGTACAACTGTTGTGCCTCTTATATCATGGTCTTTTCTTCCTTCCCCACATCACCCGCTTGGGCTTAAATATCTATTGCACACCTTGCCATATGGCAGTCACGTCTCTGGCCCTTCTCTAGCCTTCAAATATGTCCTGATAAATCCATCCGAGGTTGAATATATCAACCTAATCATAAGTCAAAACTGTGTTTAATACACCTAACCTACTGAACATCACAGCTTAGCCTAGCCTACCTTAAACCCTTAAATGTGCTCAGAACATTTACATCAGCCTATAGGTGAGCAAAATCATCTAACACAAAGCCCACTTTATAATAAAGTGTTGAATATCTCATGTAATTTATTAATGTTCTACCAAACATGTATAGCTTTCACACAAATTGTAAAGCAGAAAAATTGTAAATAGAACCATTGTAAGTCAGGGACTATCTATATGTAAATCTGGATATATTATGCCATGATCTTAAATCATTTATTAGTAGCTAGAGATAACAACTCTTGAGCATTTGATACAGTGAAATTTTTTTTATCTAAACACTTTATATCAAACTGATTTTACCCTATGAAACACATACTCTTGTTATCTGTTTTCCAGAGAGTAGACTGAGGCACAGAGTACTTACATAAGTAACCTGAGGTCACACGAATGTTCAGTAGCAGAGTCAGGATTTGAGTCTGGTTCCAAAGCTCTCACTTTTCATTACTTTTAAATACTAAACTTCCATAATACTAAAAAATAAGAAAACAAATAGTTTACAGTTCTTAAGTTTTTAATAGTACTTCATAGCATAGTATTTATCAGGCACTAATCTGACTACTTTAAATACAATAACCCCATTAATTCCAATAATAAGTCTAATGAGGAAGAAATTGTTATCCCCTATTTAGAGCTGAAAAAAAATCGAGCCACAGAGTTTTAGTAACTTGCCTAAGCTCATACAACTAAATAGTAATGACAAGATTTAAATGTAGCTGTACCATTCCAGGACCTTGCTTTTAACCACTATGCATATTACCTCTTAGCCTCTTAGTAGTTCCCTAGCCTAGAGAATAAAGCTTAAATTCATTAACCTGGCATGTGAAGCCCTTCACAATTTGCTCTCTGCCTCACTCTTTAGTCTTACTAAACTTTCCTCAATTCCCCTTGCTCAGTAAAATTTTCACGTGTTGCATGTGATGTGCATCCTCATTGCCTTTATGCTTTATGAGGAAGCCAGCTCTTTCTTCAAAACGTAGACACTGCCTCACTAGGAAGGGCTTCGTGGGCCTTCTCCTTGCCGTGATGCTGCAAAGTGACTTGCTCTCCGGGGTTACAAGAGCTGCCCCCATACATAAGATGGCATCTTCACATTATTGTTACCATCCACTTCTCTAAAACTTAGAAAATGTTTGTTTGTTTGTTTGTTTGTTTTTTAAGGGAGAAAGATGGCTACGATATTTGTCTGCTGAGTCAAAAACCAGACTACTGTAGAATTGATGAGAAGCCTTCACATTTGACTGAGAAAGGCAATTTAATTTTTCCCTTTGTCCTTCACTGACTATAGGAGTCCATACATCTATCTCTAATTATGAATTCTCCAGGAGCAAGAAATTCAGAGGGATTGTTACAACTAAAGGGAAGAAAGTCATATTCTCTTCTTTTTTTTATTTTTATTTTTTATTAAGAATATTCATGAGATACAAAGCTAATTGTCATCCCCCTGCCCATGATGTGAGGGCCAGATTCATATTCTCTTCTAAAATGGCCACTTGTTTTATGCCACCAGACTAATAAGGCCAAATCTCCATCTTTAAACTTTTCTGTGTAAAAATGTAACAAAATAGCCAGATGCTTTTCTTTATGTGTCCCTAAATAAGCTATAGTTACTTCTGCTTTGGAGATCTAGACAGGAGATCTGCTGCCATTTTCTCTGGAGAAGCAGGTCATCTGATGAAGTTTACAAAACCATAAGACATGCAGTATAGCCTGGGAGGAAGCAATCCTTTAATAGGAAGAAGCCTCTGGCTGGACTTGGTTATTATATTGAATTATTAAGAGGCAGTTTACTAGATTTTTCAAATAAAAATTATAGGCTGCCAAATATTACATGGGGGAATACTTATACTAAAAAAAAAAAAAAATTGTTGCTTATCTGAAGTTAAAATTTAACCAGGAGTCGTACATTTTACCTGGCAACTCTACCTGAGAGTTAATTGCTGCAGAAAGACGCGGATATATCTGATTTCTGCAACTCTCACTGCTGTTATCAATGTTTCTGAACCTGCCTCATTTCTTATCACAGGTGTCATGGAAACTGCAGGTCTGCCTTTCTCCAGGTACTTTGCTATCATACACTTCCTTCAGATGGTAACACCAAGTTCAGGTATGAATCTCTCTCCTTCCTTTATGAGTCATGTCAATGTCAAGTAGGCCAGAAAAAGAAAGGACCAAAAAGTAGGGACAAACTCTTTTGACCATTGTTCTTAAGGTTTGATACATAGTTATGTAATGAGATGTGTACTATAGACCCCAGTTTATGGTTAGAAAAAGTTATTTATTTCTAATCAGCAAGTCTTTATCATGTACCCAGATTTATGTTAGGTTCCAGGGAGAAAATAAAATAAAGATCCACTATTTGTCTTCAAAAACCCAGTGTTCATATTGAAGAGACATGATTTATCACTTATACAGTCAGGAAGTGGTCCAAGATGTGGGTCTATATTGGAATCCATGTAAGTTTTCAGTACACTGGGGCATCAGATGAGGAAAGATGGAATGGGCTGGACTTCGACGGGTGATAAGAATTTGCATTATAATGGATCTATGCAAAACAGAAATAACTACAGCTTATTTAGAGACATAAAGAAAAGCCTAAGACAATAATTGGCATAAAAGATTTACGAGTTTCTAGCAAAACCTTCATGTTAAATGGTAGAAACCTTTCTGATGCACATTTAGGTGGTATCCAGTCTTTGGCTAACAAAAAGAATGCTGCCACAAACATCCTTGCACATATTTTTTAAGCATCCCTATGAGTACAAATGTAGAAAAGATTCCTATGAATAGAATTGCTGGTAAAAGGTAATGTGCTATTGTATTATGATATTAAAATGTTATTCTTAAATAGTTATAAATGTACATTTCCACCAACAGCACATGTGAGTTTGCCAGGGAGGTGTTACAGGCATCAGAGCTTTTTTTGTTTTTGTTTTTTTTTCCTTTTTGTCTTTTTTCGTGTCCGGCAACGGATCACAACCCTCAGTGTCGCACCCGTACCAGACCGGGACCGGCAACGGGATCGCAACCCTCGGTGTTGCAGCCGCACCTTGCTCAGCCAGTGAGCGGGAACCGGTCTGTATGTGGGATCTGAACCCTCGGCGGGAGCACCGCCATGCTCCCAAGTGGCGCACTGTAGCAGTGCGCCACCAGGCCGGCCCCAGGCATTGGAGCTTTTTATCTTTTCTATAATTACAGACGAAAAATAGAATCTCACAGTGATTATATTTTATATTTTTATTAATGAGTGAGGTTGAGTATCTTTCCAAAAAATTTTGTATTTCTTTTCCTCTGAACTGCCTGCTTATGTCTTCACTTCATATTTCCTTTGTATTGTGGGTCTTTTCTTTGTTGCTTTTTAAGAATTCTTAAATATTCAGAATTGATTTTTGATCTGTTATACCTTTTCCATGTATTTATGATCAGTTTGTAATTCAATGGACTTGTTGACTGTATTTTGAATGTGCAGCATTTTTTTTGCTTTGATTTCTTATTTTGAAGATTACAAAATTTCCCTCCTAGCCCTGTTTATTTTGTCCACATTGTTCTCCAAACAGACTTTTTAAATTATAATAGACATTACTTTCTAGAGCAGTTTTAGGTTTATAAAAAAAAGTGCAGAAAGTATGTGGAGTTTCAATATAACCCACTCCCTGTCCACCACCTCCCCCACCCCTACACACATACAGTTTCCTTTATTACTAACATGCTACATTAGTGTAGTACATTTATTACAATTGATGAACCCATATTGATAGATTATTATTAACTGAAATCCCAGTTTAAAGTTTCATTCTTTGTGTTGTACATTTCTCTGGGTTTTAACAAATTGTTACAAAAGTCAGTCAGAAATGGCTTCTGTATTTTGGTCTTGTGTTGCAAAGTTTCTTCAACACTCGGATCCATTAGCTCAGAAGCCCACCAATGCCAAACTCTAATTTTTATGCATACAGTTATTTAAAATATATCCTAAATAGACAAATTTTTAGTATTTAATGGCTGCCTGCTTTGTATATCTTGTGAAACTGCACCCAACATCTGTTAGCTATAGATAAGAAAAACTCTGTGAAGACCCCAAGTGCTATTCAAAGCTCTTTGACCCAGAGGGTCTCTGCTGTGTTTGGAGTGATGTTACCTAGACACATAAGCCCCCTCTCCAACCCTGGGAGTTCCTCTGCCCTCCTCCCCTACGGGATGGTGGTCTCCGGTGCTTCTACACTGTCTCGAGTTGTGAGAACTGCCTCCTTTTGCAACCTTGACGTGTTGCACGAATAAACGCTCCTTGTGTGCTACCGCCACCTTGTGGTCTTATCTTTTCCCCGATCAGCCCCAAACTATATAAATGCATAATGTCACTTACCCACCATTACATGCTGTACAGAATAATTTCACCGTCCTAAAAATACCCTATTCTCCATTTATTCATCCCTCTCTCCCCCTGAAACCCTGGCAACTACTGCTCTTTTTACTATCTCTATAGCTTTGCCTTTTCCAGAGTGTAATATAGTTGGAATCATACAGTATGTACCCTTTTCAAACTGGCTTCTTTCACTTAGTAATATGCATTTAAGCTTCCTCTATACCTTTTCATGACTTGATCACTCATTTTTTTTTATTGTTGAATGATATCCCATTGTGTGTATGTGCAGTAATCTCACCTTATTGGAGGAGCAGATGTTCCAAGACCCCCTAGTGGATGCCTGAAACCACAGATAGTACTGAGCCCGATATACACTATGTTTTTTCTTATACATACGTACCTATAATAAAGCTTAATTTATAAATTAAGCACAGTAAGATTAACAATAATAATTAATAACAAAATAGAACAATTTATAACAATATGCCAGCATTAGTACTCTTTCCCTTTAGGGCCATAATTAGGTAAAATAAGGGTTACTTGAACAGAAGCACTACAGTCTCACAAGAGTTGATCTGATAACTGAGATGGCCACTAAGTGACCAATGGGTGGGTAGCATATACAGTCTGGAGACGCTGAACAAAGGGATGATTCATGTCCAGGGTGGAATGGAGCTGGACAGTGTGAGAATTCATCATACTCAGAAGTCTTAAACAATTTAAAACTTATTAAAACCGGAATTTTCCATTTAATATTTTCAGACTGAAGCTGACCTTAGTTAACTGAACTCACGGAAAGTAAAACTGCAGATAAGGGGGACGACTGCACCAGAGTTTGTTTATCCAGTCACCTACTGAAGGACATCTTAGTTTATTAATTTGGGGCAAATATAAATAAATGTGCTGTAAACACTTGTGTGCAGGTTCTTCTATGAATACAGTTTTCAACTCATTGGGGTTATACCTGGGAGCACAATTGCTAGACCATATGGTAAACCTGTGTTTAGCTTTGTAAGAAATTACCAAACTGTCTTCCAAACAGTCTGTACCATTCTGCATTCCCACCAGCAACGAAGGAGAGTTCTTGTTGCTTCACACCCTTGACAGTATTTGGTCTTCTCAGTGTTTTGGATTTCAGCCATTCTAATAAATTTGTGATGGTAGCTCGTTGTTTCAGTTTGCAATTCCCTAATGATATATGAGTTGAGTTTATTTTCATGTGTTTATTTGCCATCAACATATCTTTGGTTTTCTTTGGTCTGTTCAGATCCTCTGTCCATTTGTTAATTGTTCTTTGTTTTCTTATTGTTGAATATTAATGGATACAAAACTGCAGCTAGATAGGAAGAATAAGACTTAGTATTATATTTCACTGTAGGGAGACTAAGTTAACAACATTTTATTTTATAATCTCAAATAGCCAGTACACAGAATTTTGAATGTTCCCAGCATGAAGTGATGGATATGCTCATTACCCTGATATGCCCATTGCACACTGTATACATGTGCCCAAATATCACACTATACCCCACAAATAGTTATCAAGTGTCAATTAAGAAAAAATAAGTTAAAAAAACAACAAATAATTTTTAAGAAGAGATCTTTTTTTTTATAGACTTGAGTTCCTTTATCAAACATGTTTTTTGGAAATGTTTTTTCTCAGTCTGTGTCTTATCTTTTCCATCTCTTTACAAAAGCTTTTGCAGAGCAGACATTTTTAATTTCAATGAATTTAAAATTTTAATTTAGTAAATGAGTGCTTAAACTGTTACACCTTTTCCATATATTCTTGACCAGTTTAAAATTCATTTTTGACTTATTTTTATGTTGTGTAATTTAACAGTTTATTTTCATGGTGTCCAGGTGTTCTGCTTACTTAGAAAAGTTTTCCAGATGCATTCCAAGATTATAACAACTATTCTTTTTACTTATTTTATATTTTCAAATCAATCCATCAAAAATTATTTTTTATATAAATGTTAAGAAGGAAATTTGACTTTTTTTCCCAAAAAATCCCCAGTTGTTCTTTCCATTTATTAAATAATTCATCTTTATTCATTAATCTCAAATGTTATCTTTGTCATAAACCAATTTCCCTAATGCATTTGAATTTCCAAACTCTGTCCCATTGAGCTCTCTTATGGGCCAATTTCAGATGTTAAGAAAAAAGATCGCATTTATACAACAAATTTCAATATTCTATAGAGATATTTCATGCTCAGTAGCATTTTTAGTACAATTTTTCTATGAAAAGTTAAAAGACATGTTTTCTTTTTTGAAATATTTAAGAGGTATTTTTATTTTGGTGACTTCAAATTGCTACATTGAGTTATGCTTACCATATTGTTGGTTTTAATAGAAAAAATTCTAATATTTTCTATTAAACCTTTGAGAAAATTTTTTCTTCCTTTTTCTTTGTTCTCTATAAGATTGTTGTAAACTTGAAAATTTGTCAGATAAGTATTATGCAACCTCAAGAACATACCAAATTATATATCTGGTTAGACAAGAAAACTAATAGAGAATAATGATAAAGTGACTTAAGTACACATAATTATTATTTTTAAATATATACAAAGGTAAATGGCATAATTAGTTTGGAATCCCTCTATTTGTGATCATTTTGTCTGTTTCATATGCATTTAAAACACATTCAAAATAATCAGTATTTTAAACATGTAATTGGAATCTAATTGTTTAAGGGAATAATATTAACTTCATTAGCACTGCCCAAATATTTAAAGTTATTTTCAAAGATTTGTTATGTAAGCATATAACAAAATGGGATTCAATAATTTATACCTAAAATAGTATTATTTCTATATAAAAAATAATTTTCAATATTTTAAATATTAATTGATCACTCACACATTGGCACTTGAGACTCTAGCCACCAATGGTGAGAGGAGTCTAGAATGACTTGGTGGTCTTTACCAAGTGGCACTGTTACCAGACTCAGGTCCAGCTGCCTGCCCCTTTGATAAGGAAAGAAAAAAAACTCAGAAGTCAAATGGTTGGTGTTAGAAAAGCAGATGTATTCAGCTGAAGGAGATGATAGGCTACCCCATCTCAAAGATTTAGATTTACTGAGGAGTTTTTAAAGGAGGAGTTGAGGGATGGAACGTGGGAGGTGAGAAGCAGGAGAGAAGGAGACGTGAGTTACGAGGGATCCATTTCTGTGGGTCAGGTACAAGGTCTCGCCAAGGCCTCCTCTGGTTTCTGTTCTCATCTTCGCTGCAAGATTTTGATTTGCACCGGTGTATTACCTGGTGTCCAAGGTCAGCTTCAGTCATTTGGCCTTGATCATTTCTCAAAACTCTACAAGTCTCAAAGAAAGAACTGTTAGCTTTGCAAAGTACTAATTAGCTTCTTGCCTTGTTTTCCTACTTATTGAGTGAGTTAAGAAAGTCAGGGGATGGGAAGAAAGAGTGGAGAGAAAAAAAATGTTCTTTTTAAAATCCTCCCCCCACTCCACAGCCCAGGCAGCTTTAGGTCCCAACATGGCTTCAGTCCTGCTCCCTCCAACAGCACTATAACAGAAGGAATTGGGAGAGACAAGATGGCCACTATGTGGGTAAAGTGGAAAGTAGCATTAACTATTTTTTCATCTCTCCTCAGTGAGTGGAGCAGGGGACAAAAATGAGAGAGTCTGAAATGTCTGCTAGTTCTACACCTCATTCCAGTCAGGGGCTAAATATCAATTTTGAGAGTTTCTGAGTCTCTAACCCGACAGCACACCTGTTGTAGCCAAGTTGTATCAAAAAGGCAAACCAAAAAGTGAAACATCTTAACCCGGGGACACTTAGAGGAGCAGGTCACAGAGCTTTAAGATATTTTGCTGTAATACCCAAGAGAGTTGACAGCCTATCTGTTGAACATAGGACTTCTGTAATAAGACAATAGGAGAGAGAAAAAAAGAGGTAAGAGTAAACACAGGATGGGTGATAATTTTCCAGAACCGAAGAAAGACAGGATTCATTTGATTCAAGAAGCACTACAAAGGTCAGAAAAAGAAGCATAAATTCATACATAGATTTATTATAGTTAAAATGCAGTACCTTAAAAGCAGTCTGAAAGAAAGAATATTTAAAATGAATAAAAGAATAGAATGAATGAAAGAGTAACTATTAGACTGGTAGCAGTTTTTCTTTTTTAACAGAAATGGAAACTTTAGCAGCAATGGAAGCCATATTTTTATATTTCTTAAGGGAAACAATTTGATGAACTACTATTCAAATCAAGTGCAAAGTTAAGTTGTTTTCAGGGAAAACAAAAGAATTTATCCACAACAAAGTGTGAGTGTGTGTACATGTATGAGATGGTGCATGAGATACAATGATTCAAATAGAAGTTGTGTCCTGACTCATACTCTCACCTTTGGTTACCATCTCCTTTCCCAGAACAATTCACAGTGAAGGGCTTAGAGAGGCCAATCGTGGCTTCACTGGGTGGAGAAGTTGAGCTCAGTTGCCAGCTGTCCCCACCACAGAATGCACAACATATGGAGATTCGCTGGTTCCGGAACCGCTACACACAACCTGTTCATCTGTACAAGGATGGTAAAGACCTGTATGGAGAAACTATCTCCAAGTATGTGGAGAGGACAGAGCTACTGAAAGAAGCCATTGGAGAAGGTAAAGTGACCCTCCGGATCCTTAATGTCAGTGTTGATGATGACGGACAGTACCACTGCTTGTTCAAAGATGGTGATTTCTATGAAGAAGCCATCACAGAAGTGACGGTCACAGGTAAGGATGGATCCCTCTGAGGTTTTTATGCATCCGTGAACCTCAACCCATCTGAGGCTGAGTAATAGGGAAATTCTCAGTGTTTCTAACTATTTTCATATTACTTGGTTTGGATAGCAAATTCAAGTTCATGCATTTAGTTTTTGAATTGGGAGGAGTGAAGGATCAAAAATGAAAACTATGTCTGTGCAGACTTCAACTCTGTTAGTAAATATTGTCTGTTTTCTTATGTCTACAAGCATTGTTAGATTTCTAAAGGACCAACAGAATCCTTTTAGGATTTGCTACTATCCTTTCAGTTATTTCTGACAACACTTTAGTAAAACTTAAGATTTTAAAAAATCTGTAAATCTTTACAATAGTTTCCTTAATGATAATAAGAAAACTGGTAAGTAAACTAAGAAACAGAAGGGCTTCACAAATGTGAGGACACAAGTGTACGGTTTCAGGCCCACTCACACTTAACATCTATTTGGATATAATACAACACCCAACTCTATAGACTAGAGCTGAACTATTCAATATGATATCTACTAGCCACACGTCCATTTAAACTTACATTAAAATTAATTCAAATTAAATAAAATTAAACTTTCAGTTCTTAAGTCTCATAGGCCACATTTCAGGTGCTTAACAGTTGTTGGGAAAACAAAATAGTTTGGTCAGGGCCCTCACCTCGGGTCCAGTTGGGTGAGGTTTTAGCACATCCTTTGTAAGCAAATTGTGTGTGTGTGTGTGTGTGTGTGTGTGTGTGGAGTTAGTGCACATGCGTGCCAATGTATCTTTTTAGTTTTATTACTATTCTTGTGTTCTTCAGAGAGACAGAGAGAGAGACAGACAGAGAGAGAGGAGAGTTTTAGTGAAGCAGGCAGGCCGGCCTCTGCCTTAGGCATCCACCCAGCACAGCCATGCTTTCCAACCTACAGCTTCCAAGGACTTTTTGGCTGGTTACCTTGCCCATAGACCTGCGTGTGAGAGGTCTGGTGACCCAGCCTGGCATGTGAGGGGTCTGGGGACCCAGCCTGGCATGTGAAGGGTTTGTGACCCAGTCTGTGAATGGGCTTGAGTGGTCTGTGGGCTCCAGACCTAGCTTTAGCTCAGCTTGACAATTGGCCCAGTTGGTACAGGATTACCACCAGGTAAAAGAGCCCGACAACTGGTGTGGTCACCTAGATTTACAATTGGCATCATGAACAGGATTAAGAGCACCACAATTGGCGATGTTGACAGGATTCCAGACATTTGCCTTAGCAGTAGCTCCACAATTGGCATAGTCAGCAGGATGCCAACATTAGCCTAGCCCCACAATTAGCATAGTTGTCAGGATTAAGAGCTAGACAATTGGTGCTGTGAGCAGGATTCCGACATTAGCAGTAGCACCACAATTGGTGTAGTCTATGACAGGATTCTGAGCAGGTACAGGAACTGAAAGCCCTTGGAAGAAGGAGGAAATGTGGCTATCCTTGAGCATGTGGGGCCTGGTGGCCACTTTTCTGCTGACTGGAGCCTGGCTGCTGATAACTATGCTGCAAACTGATTGAGATTTGCAGCAGAAAGCAGAGTTGTTGGAAGCACGGATAAATGTCCTTGAGGATGATGTGCAGTGACTGGCCACTCCTGCCTCTCACAACAGGGAGGTTGACCAACCCAGTCGTGAGTTGGGGAAACCATGCATCTCCAGGCATGACCTGTTGTGCATGAGAAAATGAGACATTAAAGCAGCAGAAACGGGCAGAGCCCCTGGCTGCAACTATGCAACCTAGGGGTGGGTGGTGTAACGTGCTCTAGAGACTATGTAGTAAATGCGTTTTGCATTTCTCTGAAGGCAAAAGGCTCGGAAGGTGCCACTTAAACCTGATGGCTGGCCAGGTGCTGTAAAACCTGAGAAAAGAGTGCCACATGCAGATGGGTAGATGACCTGAGAATGGGTGCCCTTGCAGAATTTCAAGTATGTTTTCACCTGGTGAAAAAGTGGAAAAGTTAGTCTCCATTACTATGTTCCTGTCTCTGAGGCAGTGGCTGCAGAATGGCTATGGATGTGCAGCCACTCCTTGATGGACTGGGTGAATGCAGCTGTTTGAACTGTATGGGTGAAGGCTGCCAAAACTTCCTGAGTCTGAGTGAGTAGCCAGTGTAAGCCAAGCTGATTGAAGTAACTCAAAAGCCAGAATTTAAAAGGGAAGCAGAGCACAAAGATTTGGAAAGTTTGCAGCCTGGCCATGTGGTAGAGAAGTGGAGAGCAGGAGAAAAACACAAGGGTGAAGAAGATAAACTGTTTGCTAAAGACATTATCTTGGAGATGAGGCAGCCAGATGCTAAGAGCCAAGACAATGGGGAAAAAAGCCTTGAGGGCATTTGAGAAGTTTGGGAGAGCTCCTCTCCCATTCTAGAAGGACTGAGTTTCTCCAGAGGGCAGACCTGAGGTGTCATTGCCCTCAGCAAATTGTTCCCTGCATCCCAGCCACTCTGGCTGGAGCAATCCTGCCTCAGCACCTCTGAAGAGCAAAAGCCGAAAACCTTGGTGGCATTCACGTTGTGTTAAGTTTGCAGGCCAGCAGTATGTGAGAGCAGTGGAGGCGTGGCAGCCTCCACCTAGATTTCAGAAGATGTATGAAAAAGTCGGGGGACGCAGGTGGAGACCTGCTGCAGGGGGTGAAGCCACTGTGGAGGTCATCTATGGAGCAATGTGGAGTAGAAAAGTGGGGTCAGAGCCCCCACAGAGAACCCCCACTGAGGAAATGTCTAGTGGAGCCAGGATGGCGGGACTGCTGCCAGGAGCCCAGAACTGTGGGGCTGCTGGCAATGTGCAGTGCCAGCTTGGAAAAGCTGAAGACACCAGGGCAGCTCAGTGGTCTGCACCTGGCAGAGCTATAGGAGTGAGGTTGCCCAATGCTTTAGGGGTCCAGGTGCCCGATTGTGCTTAACATTTGCCCTGTTTGGGTTTTGGATTTGTTTGTGTGCCTGTCTTTCCTTTCTATTCCTCCCTCTGGAATGGGACTGTGTACCCAGTGTCTGTCCCACTGTATCTTGGAAGTAGACAAACTTGCTTTTGACTCTTTACAGGTTCATGGCTGGTAAGACTTTTGCTTTTGGTCTCAAGAGGAGACTTTCGACTTTGGACTTTTGAGTTGGTGCTGCAGCAAGCTAAGACTTTGGGGACTAGGATGGAATGTGTAATATGTGAGTGTAAGGGATTTATTTATCCTCATTTATCTTCATTTATCCTCCCTAAGGGAACATTGTGGAAGATTCTGAATGCATAGATTGTAGGTCAATGACCCTGAAGGGATGGATTGTTGGGAAAACAGAATAGTTTGGTCAGGGCCCTCACCTCAGGTCCAGTTGGGTGTGGTTTTAGCACATCCTTTGTAAGCAAATTGTGTGTGTATGTGTGTGGTTAGTGCACATGCATGCCAATGTATCTTTTTAGTTTTGTTGCTATTCTTGTGTTCTTCAGAGAGACAGAGAGAGAAAGAGAAGAGTTTTAGTGAAGTAGGCAGATGGGCACCTTCCTCGGGCGTCTGCCCAGTGCAGCCATGCTTCCCAAAGACCTGTTTGCCAGTTACCTAGCTCATAGACCTGTGTTTAAGGGGTCTGGGGATCCAGCCTGGCATGTGAAGGGCTTGTGACCCAGTCTGTGAATGGGCTTGAGTGGTCTGTGGACTCCAGACCCAGCCTTAGCTCGACGATCAGCCCAGTTGGTGCAGGATTACCAGCTGGTAAAAGAGCCTGACAACTAGCATGGTCACCCAGCTTTACAATTGGTGTCATGGACAGGATTAAGAGCTAGACAATAAGCAATGTCAATAGGATTCCAGACATTTGCCTTAGCAGTAGCTCCACAACAATTTTATGTGGCAAGTAGCTACCATATTAGACAGCACAGATATAGAACACTTCCATCACTGCAGCAAGTTTTATTGGACAGAGCTGCTCTAGAGTAACACTTTTTAAATATTTATTCATTCTTCCTTTGTCCACACAGTAGGCAAGTCTTGTATCCCAGCCAATGTCCTGTAATTTTTCAGAGACTTGTTTATTTTATCTAAGCCACATGTTATATTTTAATAATAATAGTGTATTACCTATTTATGCAAAACATATTGTTTGCAAATATCTATTGTATGCAAAGAGTATACAAATTAAAGTTTTTATTAAAGCTGCAAACATATTTATAAAGCCATTGTTTATTTATAATTTGGTATGTCAGCTCAAAGTGACTGATGGTGAAGATTGAAGAAAAAACAGTAAGCCATAACTTCTATGAGAATTGAGATCTTAGTTGTTTTTTAATTATCCATTAATGTTCACTATTATAATCAAGGACCTAGCCCAGTCTCCTAGATTTAGTAAATAAATCAACAATAAATATTTTTGAATGAATGAAACAAACAGGCATTTCCTCCCCTGACTTATTCAGGATGAGGCTGTCAATTTTTATATTATAAACCCTCATTCTGGCTGGTCCCTTTTCCCTTTTGATGAGCTCATCATGGCAATCAGTTTCCCAGAGCTTGGCTATCAACATGTCTAACATGACAGGAATTAAAGTGAGAGAGGTGGACTTTTCCATCTCTGTTCTCTGTTTCCCCTTCCCTTCATCTAAAAAATACTGTTTCCCCATTTCTTCAATCAGCTACAAACTTAGAAATACAGATTCTTCTGCATCCTTCTAATATCAAAGGTCTTTTAGTGGAGTGTAATTCAAGAGGATGGTTCCCACAGCCTCAAATGGAATGGAGAAACAGCAGAGGAGAGGTCATTCCCTATGCATCAAAAGCCCACTCACAGGACAGTCACAAATTGTTCAACATGAAGATGACCATTCTCCTTAGCAGTCAGTCCCATGGAAATGTCACTTGCTATCTCCGAAACCCTGTAACTGGTCAAGAGGAAAGTACAAGCATTGCCCTATCAGGTGAGATCTGAGTATTTGTCCTTTAAAGGATGGCCATTGTCATATAAGGTAAGAGAAAAATTCTTACACTCTCTTCACTTGGTTTCCAAGACATTTTGTTCTCTTGGCTTTATTCAACATCTTGCTTGTTTTCTTTCTTATTTTCTTTTCTATATTCATTTTTTTTTCACTTTGCCTTCATGATATTGGAATTTCCAAGCATAGTTTTTTAGCCTTTTCTCCCTTGTGACTTCATTCTGTCTCATGGCTTTAAGTACCATAAGTCTAATAAATATCCCAAACCAAACATGTCAAAAACTAAACTGATTATCTCACAACCATCTTAATTAACTGCCTTCCCAATCATACTTCATAGTTTTAGTTTCTTGGAACAAATTCCTGGAAGTCATCTTTGACTCTCATTTTTCTCTCATGTTCTATGTCTCATCTGTCAAGAAATAATTCTAGCTCTATCTTTAAAATATATCCAGAGCCTCATCACTTCGCACCACCTTACTACTGCCACCCAAGTCTGAGGCGCCATCACCCATGGTCTGAATTTTGGCAGTAGTACCCTAAAAGTTCTACTATTTCTAGTCTTCTCTGATATAGTATATTATTTTCTTTTTATTGGAATATAGTTGATTATAAATATTGGACAGATCATCTGGACAAAATATCAACAGAGAAACACAGGATTTAAACTACACTGTAGACCAATTGGACTTGGCAGAACATTTCATCCAACAACGACTGATTACACATTCTTCTCATCAGCACACAGAACATTCTCCAGGATAGACCACATGTTAGATCACAAATCAAGTCTCAACAAATTTTTACAAATTGAAATTATTTCAAGTATCTTGTCAGACCACAATGGATTAAAACTAGAAGTCAATAAACAGTGAAACTGTGGAAACTATACAAACACATGTATACAACTAAACAAACTAAACAACATGCTCCTGAGTGACATATAGGTCCAAGAAGAAATTAAACAGGAAATCAAAAAAATTCTTGAAACTAATGAAAATAAAGACACATCATACCAAAACCTGTGGGATACAGCAAAAGCAGCACTAAGAGGGAAGTTTATTGCAATAAACACGTTAAAAGAATAGAAAGATTTCGAATAAACAACCTAATGCTACACCTCAAAGAACTATAGTATATTCTCAACATATGGATAGGAGGACCCATTTAAAACATGAGACATAAAACATCACCCTCTGTTCAAGACCTTACAGCTGTTCACCATTTTACCCACAGTAAAATGCACCCACAATATACTGCACTGTCTGTACTGGATTTCCTGTCTGTCCTCATCTTTGTCCTTTGTTCTCCTTTGTCCACTCTAGTGCAGCCCTTGCTGTTTTCCGTCCATGACAGACATGCTGTTGCCTTGGGGTCCTTGCTCTAGTCGGTCCCTCTTCCTAGAATAGTGTAAAGTCCACCAAGTTCCCATATCTCCTTCAAGTCTATGTTCAACTCTCACCTTTTTAATAAGCACTACCTTGACAAACCAACTTGAAAAAATGCAACCTACCCCCACCACCATCACCTGGGATTTTCTATTTCCTTACCCTGCTTTAATTTTCCTTTTTACATAGGATTATCATCTTTTAACCACTGTATAATTTACTTATTGTCCCTTATCTATCTCCCCTCTAAAACAGGAGGGTAGAGATCTTTGTTGGTTTTATACACTGATACACCCCTACTGCTTCATATATTTCATGGCACATAGTAGGTAAGCAATAGATAATTGATATCTAAATGGTTAAAAAAAATGAGTGCCTTGTAAATTGCCAATTAAATATACATGTATTAATGTTTGTGTATATGCATGAAATTAATGTTAGAGCCAGAAGCTGAGAGGGATATTGTAATTCAAAAATATTTTATTTGAATAACTCCTCTGAAAGTTTTAGCAATTTACTGCCTTCAAGACAGTTTTGCATGTATTTTCTTATTTGATCTTCCAGAAAAAAGCAAAGCTTTATATTATGGTTGTATCAGAAACAGCAAAACAGTTACACTGGATGAAGAGAGACTAAACTACCTATTCTCTGCCCACCCCCCAGTTCTCTGCATATACATATGTATGAAACAAATAAAAGAAAGAAGGAAAAATCGTTGTTCATTTATTTACAACTTCAGTAAATAACAAGAGGCATATTTTCTGAGTTAACACTTTCTTAGAGTAGATATGTGAAAGGACTGAAGGACTGAGTTGGGACTGACCTTATTGTAGCCCCTGGAAACTTGTGTCTGAGGCTTGAGGGGAAGAACTTAGCCCAGCCTCTTCCCTTTTAGTCAGGAAGAACATGAGACAAAGCAGATGAGAGGAACAGGGAGAGTGGCCTTCACTCACCTTTGCTCAAGCTTCAAACTACATCACGTCCAGCTCAGCCCCACTCCAGACCCTATCCTACTCTTCACCAGCCCAATTATCACTGCCTCCCAAACTGGCTTAAATCTAATGTCCCAGGGTGATGGGGTCTTGAATGGAAATATGCTTTGGAGAAATCATCATTCCTTGTTCAGTAGGTCCAAACACTCCAAATTTCCTAAGTGGTAAGATTTGAAACTCTGTATTTCAGATAAACTCTTTCCATGGAACATTATTTGGAAACTGATTCTGGCTGCAATTATGGCTGTGCTGCTGTTCTTTATCATGATACCCAGTGCTGAACTCTATTTCAAACAGCAACGTAAGTAGGTGGGAGATGCAACATGGGAGAGGGGGTGGGAACGCTGCCTAACTCTTGATTCTCAAGGCTGTGTGCCTCAGGGAGTTCTAAACTCTTGGGTTCTATGTGAGACATATGCCCTCCACCCATTCCTGGGTCCTAGATATTCTTCTGCTGCTGGAGCTGCTGACAATGCTGTGTATCTGAAAGCCTGGGCTTCTTGTGCCTCAGTCAAGTTGAAAGCCCTTTCTCCTATAGTGATAGATTTCCAGACAAACTGGGAAAGCTTTTTTGACATTTAACACTTAGCACAATTTACACATATTTCTAACTGCACTTCTTAAAGGGTCCAACGACCCCATCAGGAACAGGAAATAAAGTCCTAACTGCACGTGGCAAAAGTGGCTGAGAAGACGTCACTCATCACAGCATCAAGAAAAGAGACTACACTGGGAGAGTTACAGTAATTGTAACGCCAGGTGGTTTACTTTTCCTGGGAGTAAAAGTTTTTTATCCATTCTCAACTATGATACATTAGGGCGATGGGCCGGAGGGGAGGGGGCGGCTGGGAAGACAGAAATTTTGCAAGAAAACTTGTGACAAAAAAATTGCTGTTCACAATGTGGGTCTGTGGTCCATTTAAAAAGCTTCACACTCACAGATCCCTTCTGGTACAGTTCTGTCTTTCATGAGTATAGTCTTCTGTGGTCTCTTTCTGCTTTTTCATTAGGCCCTCTAGGATCTTCTCCAGACATGGGTAGTTTAGCTGTCAGCTAAGGATTTGGATCTCAGTCCTTCTGCACTTCTCCCAACTTCCTGTATTTCCCCTGGACGTTTCCAGATGCTCTTCTGGCCTGAACTGTGTTATCTTACCACGAGGGCTGCCTTTTTCCACCACTGTAGCTGTGGGGTTTGGGGCAGATCCCTACACCAGAAAGCCACATGTTCACGACTTTCACCCTAGTAGTTGTTTTGGAAAAGAAAGCATTCTTTTACCTTCTGTCTGCTTATTGAAACTAAGTTTTAAAGGTTTGTTTTTTATAATTTGCTTCATTACATCTTTTATTGCATTTCTCTTTTTATTGCAGATCTGCTTCAGGGTATCTTACACTTTACTGAGCCTTCTAAGGCCACTTGTGTAACAATTGCTGCCTTTTCCCAGATAGTTCTTCAGAAATTTATAGTCAGAGACTTTCCTAACTTGACCTTTGCCAACCTGATTGTCCCTTGTTATTCAACTGTTCCTCATTGGCATAATTTGAGCCCCTGACATTCTATTCATCTTTATCTAGAAGGCATTTTTTAATCATTTAGAATGTATCATTTTTAAGGAGCCATAGTTAATTTTATAATAGGAATTATTACAACATCATAAGAGGCTAACATTTATTGAATTTTTACTATTGGCAAACCTATACCAAGAACATTAGCATTATTAATGTATTAAACTTCCACAATACACTTTGAGTATTATTACTACCCTGTTTTCCATATGAAGAAAATAAGTACATCACAGTTAAATAGTCCTCCTAAAATCACACATCTGGTAATGGTTAGAAATAGGATTGAATATAAGCCATATGTACACTAGTATCCCATGTTTTAACCACTAAGTTAAACTGTGCCTATAATTCTCCAGCAGAGAAACAGGCACCACCTGTGGTAGTAAGACCCCAATCACAGAATATTTTCATTGAGAGACTAGATAGCTTAATGGCAATAAATAAGATTTTAAACAATATGTTGTCTAAAGACACTTCCATTCATGAGATTCTTGTATCCAAAACTCTCATAATCTCTTAGGCAGTTCAGACATCTGCAGAGCTCTTCTCCACCCAGACTCTTTCAAACTCTGATAAAATGATAATGCTGAGTGTATAACTCCACCTCATGCTCTCCAATGAGGCCCACGGACTGATGGGCCAGATGAAAAAAAAGAAAGATGAGCTGCTTTCCTGCAGGTCTCAGTCCAAAACCTGTCCCATCCTAGGAACAGCTCTGCTTACTGTTGCTTTCATCAACAGCTCTCTGATCCCTCAGACATAAGCATTAGCCTTATTCTAAATGAATACAAGGGATAGCATCAGAATATAGTTCTTGCTTTCTAGGCCCATTTTTCCCCAACCCAAAGTGCCTCCACAGCAATAAATGATGATTGTGATACCTCTTTTTCTCAAGGTAGCTCCTGCAGCTATACCTCTCCTTGTGCCGTGGGTGCGGTGATAGTCTGTTCTTCAATGGGTACAGTCATTGGACTCATCATTTACATGCACTGGAGAACACGAGGTAAGTGGAATTAAAAGGATGGGAACTTGCTGGAAACAGCTCCTTTCCCCAAAGCCCAGTCTCTGGTAAGACATTTAGCCAAAGAGAAATGATACTTGTTTGAACTGCAGGAACAGTAAACACTTGAAGTGTAAGTTGTAGAGCTTGGATTCTAGCTTATAAATTTTGTGGCCTTGATATGACCTACTGATACTTCTGTTCCTAGAAAAAAGAAAATATTTCCTTCACTTTAATAGCTTTATTTTGGTCCAAAATCCAGCCATCACTTTACCTAATAAATTATGCTGATTCTTCTCATACTTGTAGCATAGAATAGGTAATAATTCTGTTTACGTTCAACTTTTGGGATCTCAGACTTTTTTCAGAGATTGATAAAAAGTAAAAGATCCTCTTCTTAAAATTATTGACATGTCCACACAAATGTGCTCAATTTTATGGTGTGCATGGACACATGAAACTCTCTCAAGAGGAGATCCCTCTCCTCTTTGGCTCTCTTTGAGGGTGAAATTGAAATGAATATTGTGAAAGTTTTGGGATACCTGAACCCAACATATTTGAAATGTGCCCTCAGCTTTATCTTTGAGGTCCCCATGGAAATTATATATACTAGGCAATGATCAGCAAGATAAAGTAATTCTTTATTATAAGCTGGAGCTAAAGCCAACAATCACAATGCAGAAGTTGTAAAGTAGGGCAATAATTTTCTCCTGTGAAATAAAGATGAAAAATGGCTGCAGGAAAGTAATTTCTGATAGACATAGCTATTCAGTAATGAAACAGGTACCCTAATAGTTGGCAATGGTGCTGCCATCATAAGACATATTAATCAGTATTATGAATAGGAATGTTTTCCACTTTAGAAACACTCAGGAAAGATACTTCAAAGGAGACTTCTGCTCCAAATGAGTGTATGACTTTGATGAATTGTAAGATCTCTTACATCTCAAATATTCTGCTCATCCAAGACTATTCTATTTCACCATACTCCTCACAAAGTCCAGAATTCTTGAGGGTCCTCATGACCAGATAAAATAGATAAAGACATAATATATCTATCCATCATTCAGACTCTGGACAGCTGTAGCAAGGGCCACACTGCCTGAGTAGGAGATTGGGTGTCTGCCTCCTCACAGCCCTCTTCCAGGCTTAGCCCAAACGTACTCATCCTAAGGAACATTCACATCACCCAACCTACTTTCCTCTCACCCTCATATAAACTCAGAGCAATAGGAACCTGAAAAGTAAATCTATCATAAATCTGCAATCCAGCCCTCTTTTCTCTGCTGTGACTCTTAATTCTTTCATCTCTCCCCAGTCCCTGTTTCAGATCCACAATTCCAGCTGGATACTGTATGGTTGGAAGATATCACTGTGGCCCTCTGTGTGCTGACAGTCTTCATCACCATGTTCCTTTCCTTTATTTACTTCAGATTGAGAGGTAAGTGGGATGGGAAGGGTGGTAACTCAGAGGGCATCATTCCTCTGACAGATCTCCAGATAACCAGAGGGGTGACCGTTCTGGTCCTTGTGCCTTAATAACTGGCGGAAGAAGCAAAGATTTAATCCCATGTAAGGTCTTTCTGATTGTAGCCTTCTTGAGGCTCCTGGGTGTTCTACCAGTGCCAGGATTAGTGCCTCAAATGCCAATGTCAGTCTCAGCTCTGATTGAACAATTGTGACAACTTTCCCACTTAACCTCGTAAGGCAAGTTTCATGCAGAAGCATTCACTAAAGCTTTCTGTACACTGAGTTCTTTGCAAGGCTTGCATGGTTTCTTGTATTTTGATCTCAAAGACAGAATTGAAAATTTAATATCATAATTTTCTCTTTCAGAAATATGTAAGTGTCTATGGGGGCTGGATCAGGAACATTTCAGAAACTGTTTATAGGAAGGCATAAATCTTTGAAACACCCCTTAATTCATGCCCAAAGATAAAAGCACTGGCTTTATTGTGAAAACATAATTTCTGTGTGAAAATGAAAGGAAATACTGAACTAGTGACACAGGAAGGAAAATTTAATACTTGATTCTTGTACTCGATCAGTTTTCTACAATCCTAAAAAATTCCACTAAAAAACATATGCACAGTTAAACAAATGTATGCTCTTATTTACTAGCAGGCTTTTCCTCTCAAAACCATGAGTTACTATGGACAATACAGAGACATTATTTTTGCTTAAACAAAAAAAGCCCATAACCTAGAAAAAGAATGTTCCACTTTTTTTTTCATCTGTGCATCCATTGACTCTCAGCTTTCTCTATACTACCTGTTGAGAGCTGCCAGGTGTTGTTATTGGTCAGTTTGGACAAGCCAAAGTGAAAGTAACAGCCAAGCCTTCATTCACCTACTGCAGTTGTATAAGAAAGAGGCCAAAAAGGAAAGTAGTGCTGGCTCCCCAATGTCCTATTTTTTTCCCGTAGAACAGCACTGGGCAAGGGTCAGGTGACATGCAACACAGGTAGGGGAAATCTCACTACAAAGAGTTCTTGCCATTTTATGGGTTAGTGGGAGGGAAGTTAGACACAGGGAAGGACTGGGAATGGAAAGAAACTGAGTCACAGAGGAAAAGAGTGTTTTAGTCAAGCCTCCTCCGCAAAAGAAGGCCTTAACAGAGGTGACTGAAAAGTCTCTCAGCTGAGGCCCCCAATGAGGAGGTCTCCAAGGAAGGTTCCTGGGCTAAGAGTACAGATATGCATATGAGCATGGCTGTTTGGGAGTGGGACTGAGTCCTGGACTGCAACTCCCTCAAGAAACTGCAAGGCACTGACTTTCATGGAGAACAGCTTTCTCCTGTGAGGTCTGCAAGGCAGAGCCTTTGTAACTTCCTATGCTTGGACCTAAAGGATCACACACAGGTTATTGGCTTAGAGTCAGACTCATGATCTGGCCGATGTTGAGAGACTTCCTACCCACTGAGATGAAGTAAGTGTAAGATACAAGCGTGTGCCTGCTACAATACAGATGCATACTCCTCATGCCTAGTTTCTGCCACCAACAAAAACATCCCAATTATTCTCCTGGCGTTCATAGGGATGGAAGTAGTAAAGAGTCTATAGCCAATATTCTTCAGCTCACATCACATTCACCTATTGACCCAGTGGCATTAAAAGCAGGATTGCTGGGCCGGCCCGGTGGCGCACTGGATAGTGCGCTGCTTGGGAAGCGCGGCAGCGCTCCCGTCCGAGGGTTCGGATCCCACGTACAGACCGGCTCCCGCTCACTGGCTGAGCGAGGCGCGGGAGCAACGCCGAGGCTTGCGATCCCGTCGCCGGTCCCCGGTCTGGTACGGGGGCAACACTGAGGGTTGCAATCCGTTGCCGGACACGGAAAAAGACAAAAGAGATTGCTGGGCCGGCCCGGTGGCGCACTGGATAGTGCGCTGCTTGGGAAGCGCGGCAGCGCTCCCGTCCGAGGGTTCGGATCCCACGTACAGACCGGCTCCCGCTCACTGGCTGAGCGAGGCGCGGGAGCAACGCCGAGGCTTGCGATCCCGTCGCCGGTCCCCGGTCTGGTACGGGGGCAACACTGAGGGTTGCAATCCGTTGCCGGACACGGAAAAAGACAAAAGACAAAAAAAAAAAAAAAAAAAAAAAAAAAAAAAGCAGGATTGCTTTCAAGAGAAGTATTACTGTCTCTCACAGTAGAGGAGTCCAGAGGAGCTAGAAAACACATCCTGTTCCACCTACATGGGGCTGCAAGGCCATTTCTGGATGCTGCTCTTCTGTATCCCATTGAGACCAGTGAAGGAGTTGCTTTATCTATTCAAATATTTAATCAATTTATCTTTTTTGTTTTTCCCAGCATTCTATGAAAAAAAGGTCAAGACAACACATTCATTGATTTGAACTAGATACTACACAATGTAATGGACTGAAAAGACCAAATCATTCTATTTAACATCATTTAGGCTACTAATGCCTAAATGCTAATAATACGGAGTTTTATAGCAACGACTTCATGATAGTGTAGCTAAAATTGAAAATGGTCAAAATTGACTGCAGATTGAAATGTCCTAAATTAGCTGCTAATTTTTTAAATAAAAAAATACCAACCAATTGCCAAAATCAGATTAATTTTATTTTACAAAGACGAAATAATTTCCCCAAATATGTACAAATTTCCTACACAATTTTTAAAGTTTTCTTCAGTTTTATCAAGCTTTTACTGGGGTACTGGAATAAGTCCCATTGCTTTTTTAGTAGCTATATTCTCCGTACTCTTTCACTGAATTTTTTTCGTATGTTAGAAGTTGATTATCCCAATTCCATGTCTCAAATGTTCCACAATTTTGCAAGTTCCAGAAGGTCAAGAGAACCCATAAGAATATTTAGAAAAAGTTTAAAAGCAAATCCACAGACCCACTGCATCTTCAGATGTGTCTCATAATACAAGCACCAATTTTATTTTGCAATAGCCTTTCTCAAGCAAATAAACAAAACGTATAGTGATTTACTGTTTTCTGAGTTATGAAGGTACAGGGAGAAAGGAAGACAGTCAGAGACAGAGACAGACAGAGACTATGTTTTGATTGCAGTTTCACCGGTGTATTCATTTACTTCTGTTGCAAACAGATAATATGCAAATTAAACTGGGCTCTTTTCTAGGATGCCTTTATTCCTTGTAGGCTTCCTCTCAGCAAGTATTTTTCTCTTATTGATTTAAGCTAGAGAATTCAAGTTAATCAATTTGTAAATAAAAGTTGTTCCTCATGGCCTTTCCAAAAATATCTTTGGCATCTCAGAGAAAATAAATATTTTCTCAAACATGTTCTCATCTTAACTACTTGACTTTTTAGGAAGATGTGAATTTACAATTCCTTGAGTTAATTTTATTTCCTTGACAGATTTCCTACAAAGTTGAGGGATTGAACAAGCATCAAACTTCTCATCTGGAACTCTGGATAGAGACTACAGTGGTGCAACATGCTAAGATCTCAAAAGAAAATAATTGTAGCCCCATAATTTTATACATAGCCAAATGGTCGTCATGTAGCAAGTAAAGAAAATATGTTTGGATATTCAAATTTGTATCACATTGACAGCTCTTGTATAAACTATGTTAACTAAAATTTTTTAAATGACGGAAATTGTATTAATCCATTGCTGTTGCTTATAAAACAAAATACACAGTACCAGGTAATTGGTAAGCAAATTAAATTTATTGCTATAATTTCAGAGGCTGGGAAATCCAAAGTCCAGGGAACATAGCTGGTGAGGGTCTTCTTTGATGGTGGCTTTACAGCAATGCAGGGTCTCACATGGCAGAAGATAGTGGAGCAGAGAGAGATAGTTCCTCATGTACCCTCTTTTTAAAGCCCTCGGATCTATGCCCACAACCACCATTAAACCATCAACTTAATCACCTCTTCAAGGCCCTAACTTTCAATTATCACAATAGGATTTCCCACCCTCAAGAGTTACAGTGGGAATTCAGATTCTAATATATGAACTTTGGGGGTCACAATTAACTCAATGCACAGCAGAAATGTAATCACGATGAGTCAGAAGGATAACTAGAATAAAACCAATAATCTGTATGGTAAAATGGAAGTAATTCTCTGGAGGTAGAAATAAGTCTATATCAGTAATTAAAAGTTGTATTTATGGGTAATTAAACATATACATTAAAATAAAACTCTCCAATCTATCATGTTTGCAACAGACTTAACTAAAGGATGATGACAGGGAAAATTAGAAAATACAGGGCAGCTTCTGGTCAAGGTGGCAGATAGACAGTTCCCAGAGTCAGTCTCTCCCCCAAATCAACTAATTTACAACTATTAAAAAGCAATGACAGCCAAGCTGTGGCTTATAGAGCTCAGGGGAAGAGAAGGAGAGACCTATGGAGTGCATGAAGGTGGGAGAAGCCACGATGAGAGAAAGAAAAAACCACTCCGACTGTTTCATGCTATGGCCACTTTAAGGCTGGAGCTGCTGAGTGCACGGAGCAAGAGCTGGCAAAAAGCCACAGCTGTGCCCTTCACATGAAGTTTCTTGGAGACAGCAGGGGAGAAGAGGGCCTTGGTGGACCCCAGGCCAGCAGTACTACCAACAAGGTTCCTGTGGACCACATAGGACTGAGGATCCACAACAACTGACAAAAAGGAACCACTGAGAGGCTGGCGAGTCAATGTAAGGGACTGGAGCATGGCCCATCCCATGGGAATTGTTTGGAGCATGGGCAGTGGGAGAGACAGGCCCACTGGGGGAACACTGGGGGACTGCAAGGACAGCTGGTCTGCCACCCAGTCTGTGCAGGACCACTCAGAGGAGACTGGTCAGGAATATAGAATAGCAAGCGGTGCAGTTTGATGAAGACTCAGGCCCAGACCAGAGTTTCTATACAATCCAGGTGCACCAGATTTCAGCAGATCCAGAAGTACCTATAAAGTCAATCATTAAAACTGAGCTGCACAAAATGCCTTCCCTAGGAAATCAGCAGCAAAGCAGCAATTTAACTCAACCACAGAGCTCAAGTGCTGGTCTCCACAGGAAGTTCACCCATCTTAGAAGTAAGCAAAGCACAACAAATTAGTTCCAGTACAGAGTTTAAGCAGTGGAAACAGCAAATAATCCAACACAGAACTGAAAGAAAAAATAAAATACCCACAACTAGAGACAAAGTTTGATATTAACTAGCAAAGGTCTCATTTCACCAAAGAACACCTATAACACCTA